AACTTTTCACCAGATTCGACCGGTTCGACTTTATGGACAGTGTGGCTAGACCTTAATACAAGCATGTCTAGGTTTGGAGAATTTTTTTTTTTTTTTTTTATGCAAGGGGTTATTTTATTTTGTGAACAGCAACAACCGCAATGACCCTTCAAATTACAGACCCATCTCTCTGACAAGCATACCATGTAAAATATTCGAACATGTCATCTACTCTCAAGTCATGGACTATCTTAACAACTTTAGCTATCTTCACCCTCAACAACACGGCTTTCGCAAACATCTTTCCTGTGATACTCAGTTATTTGAATTCGTAACAGATCTCCACGATAACTTTAACGACTCTTATACTACTGACGCAATTTTCATTGATTTCGCTAAAGCCTTTGATACTGTCCCTCATCAACGCTTACTTCTAAAACTTTCTCAATTAAACATAAATGACAAAATCGTCAGTTGGATCTCATCATTTCTCACCAATCGTAAGCAGTATGTATGTATAGATGACACGTCCTCGCCCGCCATTACAGTTAAATCCGGAGTTCCACAGGGCAGCGTCTTAGGTCCACTTTTGTTTCTCATCTACATAAACGACTTACCTTCACTAATCTCGTCATCAGTAAGGCTTTTTGCTGATGACTGTGTACTGTACCGCCGAATTTCTCATCCTAGCGATTCGGAACTCCTTCAACGCGACATCGACATCTTGGGTGAATGGTGCTTAACATGGCAAATGAACATAAATGTTACTAAAACCAAGCTCGTTTCTTTTAATTCCTCAAAACACCACAATCCCTCGTACTCAATTTTTTGCGATCCTATTTTATCTACTCATTCATACAAGTACTTAGGTATCACTTTTACCGATGATCTAACCTGGAATGCCCATATCGAAAACATCGTTAATACATCATTAAGAACTCTGGGATTTCTGAGAAGGCATTTATACCTTGCTCAACAGGACGTGAAACTTACTGCATATAAAACCCTCGTTAGATCGAAACTTGAATTTGCTAGCACCATATGGGCTCCTCATCAACTTTACCTCATTAATAGACTAGAATCAGTCCAGAATAAGGACGTCCGCTTCATTCATCGAAACTACAGTACGAAAATCAGTGTCTCCCAACTAAAGGTTCTTTCTAATTTAACTTCTCTTGAATCACGTCGGACAGTCGCTCGCCTTACTCTTTTTCATAAGTTTTATTACAACATGCCATCATTCATGCTCACTCACTGTAAGCCTGCCTCATACATTTCTTTGCGTCATGATCATTCCTTAAAAATTGCACCTATGTTCGGTCGCACTAATAGATACAAATACTCTCCTCTTGCTCTGTCCATTAAAAATTGGAATTCTCTCCCTAACGACATAGTCACTGAACAGAACGAAATAATATTCCGCGAAAAAACTTCGGCTTTGGTTCCATGATATGTTTTCCGCGCCATGTCTGCTTGTGTTTACTATAAATTGCACACTGTGTTCCCAGTTCTGCTGTGCCCGGTTTGTGTAAACTTTGTTCCGAATCCTGTATAGTTCGTTCTTTGTTTTTGCTTGTTGTTAATTTTTCACCTCAGTTAGTTCTTTGATTGCCATTCCATCTTGCATTTGATTGTATTTTTCTACCCCCCCCCCCCCTCATGTAATACGTTCGAACGAACGTCTTTGAGGCGAATAAAACTTGAACTTGAAAACTTGATTAAAATAAACGAATTCTAATCACTGAAGAAGTTAATAACTTAATTTTTAGTGCTGTATTGACTGAAATAGCCAATCAGCGCTGCACTTAATTCATCTCTTAGCCATTACCATCCAATCCGAAGCCAACTGGCCAGCCTGTCGCGCATGCGCACACGAGTTGAACCGCAATACAAGGTTCGTCGACCTTTCCACTAAAAGTTCGAAAAAGTCGAACCTGGTCGAACTCGAACCGCGACCGGTTCGCGACACCCCTAGTTATGATTTCACTGTGGCGACGGCGACGCCGCTCAAGCCGGAAACGGGCGCCTAAGAGCTGCGCTCTACAACTAGGGCATGCAGGCAAAAGCGTTTTTTTTTTTTTTTTTTTTTTTTTGTTCTTTACTTCAGAAAGGTAGAGACACCAACTCTCAAAGAAACGTTTGGGACGTCCCTTGGAAGAGACGTCCCTAACGTTTCCCGGAAAAGGCGCCACCCCCCCACCCCCCCCCCCCCCCCTTGCTGTTCCTCTGGGAAATTGATAACTTTCCGCTTATGGTTTGGCGCCATCTAGCCACTGAAGCAGGAAACATGGCGCCTGCATCATGGCCTCCGAGATCCCGAAGCGCGCGAGCCTTGGGTTCGGAGACAGGGCCGTAACCAGGGGGGGGAAGGGGGGGGGGGGGGGGGTTAGGGGGTTCTGACCCCTTCCGAAATTTTTTCTGGGTACGGCCCTGGTCGGTGCACTTGCAGCCAGCCGATTTTAATCTCCACCTCTGCGCACGCGCAGTGGCGCCGGTCGGCTACCGGGTACCAAACCGGGACCGGTTCTCCGGTTTGCTGCAACTCTCCATTACATGCCACTGATGCACATGATTCATAGGCGAAAATAAGACAATAGACACTTTCAAAATGGCCGCCGTTGTCCCCGAACCCCCCCCCCCCCCCCCCCCCCCCCCCCCCGAAATTTTTTTCTGGGCACGGCCCTGCTCGGAGACCATGCCTGCATTGTTCAAACGTGAGCTATTACTTTGG